CTATAAACCAAGCAGCATCATGCAGAAATATGGAGACAAAGCGAAAGAAAACAGTCCCCACTAGAGAGCTGGAGAAAGCAGCCTTTCAATGAGTTTTTCACACCTGCGTCTGTAAAAAAAACCTCTGCGATGAGTTGGCCAAGCCCTCTACTGACTTTTCTTCTCCTTATTCACGAAGCTCTGCTCTGGAGAGGTCAGCTCCCTCTCTATGATGCTGGTCACTCACAGTGCCACCTTGCTGCCTGACCCACCTTGGTTACTCTTTGTCTCTAAAGCATGGGCATCAGGTGGATTTCATATATTTCGTAAGCAGAAATCACATTCTCAGTGGGAACACAGCTGTCCTGGGTGACCTTCAACACATCAGAGGTGTTCATCCTCCTCAAGGTGCACACCTTGGGCAGCCAAAGCTCATGCTCTCTAGACAAGAAACAAACCCCTGGCTCCACACAGCACAGACAGAGCAGGAGGGAGCCCATAAAACTGACTGGGAAAAGGGAACAGACATTTTCAGTGATTTTGAACACGACCGATGGAATCAGCTCAGAGGGACATTCTTGGCTCATTTGCCGCTCCACGCAGAAAGGCTCCCCAGCTCCGGGGCAGCTAACAGCCATCAAACCAACTCGCTTTGGCGTTTTCACAACTGGGCTATGTTCTTGTTCTCAGCATGGACTTCCATTTCTGCCCACTGGTTATCTGTTGTTCTTCAAACCCACAGCTGGGGGAAGTGCCTGTGGAGATGGTGTTTTTCTTTCTAAATCAGCAAGATTTTTTTTTTCTTCACAGTTTGCAAGTTGGTTGTAGCCAAAACTCACATACCTCTGTTCGATTTGTTTTCCACCGACTTTATTCTTACTCATAAGCTTAAAAAGATGAATTCAGATAATAAAACCAAAGTATTCTGCTACAGTTCATTATTTGGGCTAAAACACCTTCCCTTATGTTTGTTTGCCCGTGGGAAGAGATGGTAAGTCGGAACCTCCGTGATCTTCCCAACCAGGGAGGCAGAAATGGAAAGAATAAGAAATACGGAACAGCTTTTCAGCTGACACAAATCAGCACAGCTCCCTCGCTTTCAGTAGAGCTTTCCTGCTTTTGCCAGCTTCAGAGCCACATCCGAGTTGTCTCAAGCGTGCTTATGATGAGACATTGAGGTCGTAATCCCACGGCAACCTAACCAGGAATAGCACCTCAGACCATGTATGAGCATAGGCACTCCCGGGAAAAAAAAAGAAATATCTCTGTATTTACGTATTATTCTAATATTCCTCAACTACACATAGCTTCATAAGCAGCCCTAATATGCACAACAAAAACCAACTGAGTAAAGATACAAGACTGTGTTAGCATTCTACAGCGAGTAGTTCCCAGTGTACACAGGACCACTCTCAAGTACTTTAGTCAAAGCATAAATCTTGAATAATACAAACGATGGATGAGGCACCCATTAATTTTGGTTCCTCTTCATTCATGAATTGTCCAGGAAAAAAAAAAAAAAAAAAGAGAAGTTCATTTACAGCAATCGCTGTTACCTCTTTAAGAAGGGGGTGGGTCATCCAGCCTTTTCCAGGCGAGGGAAGAACTTGGAAGAGTAAGGACTTAGTTCCTGAAGAAGCCCTCATTGGAAAGCTGGCAGGGAATGGAAAGCAGAGGGGAGCACACCGCAAGGTGGAGAAAACAAGGAAATCCTTACATAGATACCTATTTTTAAAAAATATTTATTTGTAGTGTGTAGCATAACTGACCAGACAAATTCAGTGGCATTAAGAACAAAAAAAGATAATTATACTGAATGATACAAATGGACAAAATGAGTTCTGTGGAGTAAAGGAGATCTGTTAGTCAAATCCAGAGTAGACTGGTAAACCTATGTAGTAAACAAGTACGGAGGCAGCATAGTCTACACAGACAGGAGGACCTGAACAAAATTCAGAGGAATTACATGGAACAGAAGAGTTTCTGCTGATTCCAATAGTCTAAGATTTCATCTTCATTTTGTAATTCTATCATAAATATTTTGGTATGGTCAAAGTGATGTAGCAAAACCAGATGCACAGTGTCCAAGCATTAAACCAGGACCCATTTTGTGAAAAGGTCAAAATAATGCATAAGAGTCTGTCATCTCTGCTCATATCATGACGTACAATTGCCCTGCACTTGCATTTTGAGACTCTTTTCATGATAACGTTAAAAAGTTAAGGGCTTTGAATAGACTGAAAATGTTGAAGCACCATGACATTAATTTCTTTAGCATGAATTGTGTTCCCCATGACCTCAGCTTCTTGTTTCTGAGTTTCTACCAGTAACAAGTGGAAAACGAAAGGCCTGTAACTTCAGGAATGACAGAACCGATGTTAACGCAGAACATGTGTCCGGTCCCACCGTGACAATCTGCTCCCACTTCTTTCTGTGCTGTGGGTATTTATCCCCAGCACCTCGTGGTTTACGTCCAGAACTTTTAGGTCTCATCACTTTGGTCGGCCATGACAGTAACGCCCTGGAAGGGCCTTCCACGGCCTGCCTTCCTCCCATACCCCTAACTGCAATGGGACGTAGTTAGTTGGTTGTTTACTGTGCTTAGACTTAATCTTCACCTTCAGGACATTATTTTCTTCCATATTCTTCTGTACTCACCCAAAATTTGCCTCAACGTTTTATGTTTGAATGTATTTATCTACCTTTTCCTCTTCCTTTAAGACCCTAGTTTCACATCAATTTAAAACAGGTCTTGTAATTAGGTTGGAGAACTGCAATCCAAAATTTTTCCTAGGCAAAACTCCAATAGAGTTAATTGGCTTCAGTGGGAGACTTGTCCGAGTAGGAAGGGCAAGATTTGGCCTCAACGAGACTATAAATTCCAGTTTAAAACTCAGTAGTTGTTCAGAGGCTCGCTCCTGTGACAACATCATTCTTCGTGCTTCCTTCCCTGAATTCCTTTCCTAGTCATAGCAGGAAAGCTTTCTGGCACCAAAATCAAATGATAATACCCTGGCCATCTCCCAAAACCCCGTTATGTCTCGTAGAAAGCATCGTTGTCTCCGCTGCTCTCAAAGGGAGTGTAAAGCCTCCAAGACGTCGGGTTTCTACATTTTGTTAGGAAAGGCCAGTTCTTTTCATGTAGGCAATAAACAGGCCCCGATAAGCAACTGTGACCCTGCCAAAGTCACCAGTTGCTTTAGATGATGTAATAACTACTTACACTTCCAATAAATCCACACCGCAGTATTTAAGGTATTCTCCACAGCTACGTAAGGAAACACACTGCTCTACAACAACTACTGAGGGAATTCTGCCCGCTCAGCCCGAGCAGCACTACCGAACTACAGCCACGGGTTCGGGAGTCCTGTCGCCCCACTCTATGTTTCCCACCCTTCTCAGCAGCTGTAGGCCATACTCCTTTCTCAGTGTAATTCTCTGTGGTAAAACATAAACATTTGGGGTATTACATGGTCCAAAATATAAGTAAAAAATTAAGCAGAGCCTAGTTCAACAGACCATATGTTGATATTTTCATACTACCAGCCTCTGTAACAAAGTATTCCTATAGTTTCTTGAAACTGCACAGAAACCACTTCTTTCTTCATATCTGAGATCCCAAACATTTCCCATTCTTTCAAATGCTTCAGTCGCTGAATTATATCCTTCTTTGCCAAGGAAATCTTGAGAAAACAAGTCAGTCGTATAGTGCTTCCCGTAGGTCACCAAGTTCCTGCCTGGGCAGCCTTAAGGGGAAAGGAGCCTTTCCGAACCGACAGCTCTGCGCTGGGGCTGTTTGAGCAGCAGTCCCCCTGGTCTCTATCAAGCTACTGGATTTAGCAAACCAGATGATCTCAGCTACTGTAGAACCACACGGAGAGCCTCTCACCTCTAAAACTTATGACGCAAATCATTTATGACCTTGTGAGCTAGACACATCTGGAAATAAGACCAGTACCACCCCGCTTAAAAGGCCCAGGCTCTCCTTGGAAAGCCCCGGGACTAAAAATGCTGCTGCACTCTGCACTAGCGTTAGAACAAAAGTGCAGACTTAGGATAGAGGCACTTTTGGTAAGAGGAGCTGATAAAACATCCACTGTTCCTCCACTTGTTACGGCATAAACAACGGTATGTGGCCTCAGTCACATACTCACATCCAAGTTCGGCTCTAGCTGATGTGATTCCCGATTTTCAAAAAGAGCAGAGATGGAAATACAGATCCTGATATCAAATGAACACACAGCACGGATGATGTGACGTTCCTTGCTAGCCCCACGCTCCCCCAATGACCCGATGCGTGCAGTGAACATGCAGGAACCATGAAACAGAATTTAGCAGACTCGCTCCTCAGAAGGCAACCATCCAGCGCCGCCGCGTGAGACAAGCTCACAAGAAGGGAACGGATGAGATTTATTTTTAATCTTCTGGGCTGTAGATGTGTCAGCAGCAGAGGGTGTTCAGCAGTTTTGAAGACAAGAAGTGCAAAAGAACTTGTGAGAAGACCCGATTTTCATTCACTATCTTCCCTCCCCGCTGCACCTTCTGTTCTAACACTGGGCCAAAACGACTGAGATGAGAGACATTTGTGAAACCTGGCGCTCAATGGAGAACTGGGGCCGAGGTTTGCTATTTTAACAGTGACTTCCTTGACAAGTAAATCTTAGAACATGATATTTGACCTATCTATCTATCATACAGCACATTTTGGAGAAAGACTATATTTCTGCAGTGAAGCCAGCTCTTCACAGGCAAGTAATTTGACTTCCTCCATGTTAGCTTCCATCGGCCTCCAAGGAAATGAAATCTAACTCACAAAAAATAGCCATTTTGATGAGGGTTTAAACTGAAAAGTAAAGACTAAAAAGCTAGTCACTGTATACCGCTGTCAAACTTTTCCCACCCTGGGTAGCTTTGGTTCCTAATGGAGTTCACACTACCTACCTACCTACCACAAAACATCTGTGAATTAAACTGCTCGGTGAAACATCTTACATCAGATTGAAAAACAACATTAGATTCAACGGGACAGTAAATGATCGGACGCTCTTGAGCTTTGACCTTGTTGAGCACTGACAGTCAGTGTGTCCAAACGTCTTTCCAAACACTTAGCAACGATTCAGAAAGTGGGTCATTAACACGTTTTGTCATGTTATGCAATTTTTCCCTCCCCTCTAAACTGGGCTTTTTTCCAGGTCCAGTAGCCAACAATAAATCAATCACAGTCTCTCATAAGCCTTTTGACTTAAATTCTATCCTGTAGGTTGAGTTAAAAAACAGAGCAGAAATCACTGCAGGAGGTGAGGCAGGAGGGGGCTAGTGGTGACTGCTGTTTAGGAGATGTTTGCTTGACCCACAGCCATTCTTGTTGCCATTCTTTGTGGGCTCCTCTTCGTTATCTGTAACAGAATCTTCCTCCTCTTCATCACTCCGGTCATCTTTCAAATCCTAGGGAGAAGAAAGCACCGTGAGCATATTCTATACTTGCGGTATTTCCTGTCAGATAAGTTACCGGATTGCTATTATCAGTGCAGACCTTTTGGAAAGGCCTATCGGTGCCAGACAAGCAAGCCTTTTATTTTTAAAGTGAATTGGGTATCTGGATCTTTGCAATAACTTTGAAAACATAACCAATTAATTTCACTCGTCAGGTGCCCCCATTTGTAATTGCAAAATGACAAGATGGTGCACAAAAGCTCCAGAACATGAGACATTCTCCGTTCGTGGAAATTCCCCAGCATCCTCTGAAGACAAAACTTCTCTGTCCTCCATTTGCCTCAGGAAAAAAAAAAAAAAGTACTAAAGAGAACAAATGAAAAGGGAGCTCTGAATACACTAGACAATGTCAAAACTGCCTCCCAGAAACAACCCCTCCCCCCAAAATGGAGGCTGACATCCAAGGACAGACCAGTTAACACGGCGTTAATCTTGCAGAACCTAATGTTCTTTAGACAAAATTTCTTCCGTGACCTTGGCCCAGTCGTTTGACCTCTTCTTGCTTGTTTCTGCTTTCCCTTGTAAAGCGTTACTAGTAATCCCTGGGTGCTGTGCGATTAATTAACAATTGTGAAGTGCAGGGAAGATGAAAAGAATATTGTATAAAAGCTAATTATAATGAATATACTCGCCCAAACATAGGAGTTGAGAGGCTGCCTGCTTCTGACAGGTGTAAACTAAACAGTGACCAGTTGTGCCAGCATCTCCTGGTATGAACTTTGCTTAAAGAGACTTATTGACCCTAAAATATTCTTCCCTACTTGACGGTGTATACATCACGTCAATATTTGCAAAGGGGAGGCCGTGTCCATACAGCTATCGTATACACCTTGGGTATATCATCCTGCTAGGGAAACTGCCGGGGAGGAGGGGACGGTTGCTCCGTTAGCAGGGATGAATGGGGGTCGGCGAGACAGTCTGCCCTTATGAAAATCCCTTCCCAGCTCTACAGGAACAACTTCTAACATTTGGCAATCATGCTTCATCCCCAGACAGCCAAACATGGCACTTGCTAATGCATGTTTCCACCACACAGAGGAAAGACATTGCGTCTACCCAGTATTTCACAGCAAAGGTTAGGGGGAGGTAAGACAATTCTGTGCTAGGTGTCATGGCACATAAAATATACCATTACTCTCTTATTTCTCAACTCCTACTGTAATCCAAGACCCTGCAATGCATTCAGAAGTTTGGTTCAAACAATTGAGGCTTCGGCATTAAAACCAAACACCGCTATTTCCCTTTCAGTGCAACAAGCTCAAAAGAGCAGTACCTGCCTCCCCGGAAGGACCTTCCGCACCAGCTGATGACCTGCTCTGCAGACGCAGGGTAGGATGCTCTAGTTAAAGAAGCTGTAAATCAAGTAAACGCTTCCTTCTGCCTACGCGGTGACCGATAACGCAAATGAGATCAAAGCAGGCACTTGAGAAACCTTTTCCACCTCCAGCAGTTTCCTGCGTGATTAGCAGCTGCCACTGGTTGTCTCTTCCAGTTACTTGGAAGGTGCCTGGTAGCCCTGATAGCACCTGATAGACTCACCTGATACCCTGTAGTTCTTGTGTTGGAAGAGATGGGCAATAGCCGTTCCCTCTCCAACATCTCACGATTTCATAGACCACCTCTCACTTAAAACCAGGAGTTTCCCTGTAGCAGAGGATCAAAACAGGCAGGCATGTTAGCCCTCATGCAATCTGCTGCCTGTACAGCCACACCGGGGACCGCTCCATCATGGATAGCTTTGTTCTCCTTGTCATCTGTCTGGAGCTCAACTGCACAGGCAGAGCCTGCACGTTCTTCTTGCTCCTGGAGCGATGTGCCAAGGTCAGAGATGAGAGGCAGGAAGGAGAAAGCAGTGCTGTTCCTGCCCATCCTGGGTCTGCCCTCGGAATGAGCTCACAATTTCACTTTCTCAGCCTGCTGGTCTGAGGGCTTTCTTAAGCACCAAATTCATACAGAGAAAATAAATGACGGATCAGTAATAACTCATCCAATTGCAATCTCATATCCCTTTATATATTACACTTCTAGTAAAACGTATAGGACTAGAAAGAAAATTAAAGCCTAAACTATGTCTCATCAGAAACAATAAACTTCCTGGAGATTTTCTTTTGCTTTTTCCCTAGCAACATACAAAGGGTATCAAAACAAACAAATCTTACTGTAAATACTATAAAATAAACTTGGCATGCCATCAGTTAGAGAAAAGGAAAGACAGCCTTTCCCACACAAACAATTTATGAGGTTCTGCCTCTTTCAGATCACCTCTCTCGCTCCTGGTAGTTTTGCCATTTGTATTTGCAGTAAAAGACAAATGTTGAGGGTGGGGGAGGAGGGTTTGTTATTTTTTTGCCACCAGAAATGTTTCAGAAAAACAAACGCAAACTAAACCTACGTACAGCACCTGACGCACAATCTGCTAGACTCCCTGGAAGTACTCTCATCTTCCCGAGCAGCCTCCGGCTGAGGCCGCAAACGTCGGCAGTGACGGGGGAGGAGTGCTTTTACGCTCACTGTGCATAGCCTTGAGTCAGTAAAGCTGTGAGCGCGTATTTCGAGTACCTCATTGCGGCCCACAGAAGTTGCTGGTACTCAAGCAAATGCTTAAGAATAGCTGGCAATCTGCTTTGCTTTGAATGACAGCCGATACGTGACATCGATTCCTGCTTCCTATAGGAATGAGCTGGCATTTCCAGCATGGAACTGGAAACTCGGAGAGGATTTGCTCCCCAGGTTTAAAGCTGTCAAGCTGGATGCTCTGATTAAAGGCACTATATGTAGTAATTTAAAAACATGTAAATGTTTTTTTCCAGCACACTGGAAATCCCTGCATTTGAGATTGTATTCTGAAGCAACCATTGCAAATTTGCTTAATTCTGGCAAGGAGTACTGCATCTGAAATCCTGATATTAATCAAGAAAAAATGCTGCTAAATCAAATCTAAATTTTTATTTTAGTCATGAACCTGGTTGCTGACCAAGTGCCTCTACAAATTCTTGCTTTAGAAGAGTCTGGCCATTTTTGTCTAGCTTGTTTAAGTGACAGAACAGAACTTTAAATAGCAATAGCTTCATCTGTAACTAGAAAACCAAACAAACCTGTCTTTCCAAACTGTTTAGCAGACCATTATAAATATATTAAGATACCGTAAGTGAAGTCTGTGCCTCTTAACTTTGACCTTCTAAGAATAACAAAAAATGTAACATTTCTAGGATTTTCCCTGCTTTAGTACCAAGATGTTTTCTCTGAGCCCCTCACATCATATATTATAGCTGTGTTTTCCAACTCAAAGACTCTGCTCTTACTGTCCCTGAGCAACAACAGATGAATATACTATCAGAAACACAAGAGCTGGCAAACTGTAAATACCACAACTGAGGCCATCATTAATACTCAATGCTTCGGTTTAATGGCACCCACTGCATTTATTATACTTCAGATGGTTTAGGGTAACAGACAAAATGGATGCATGTATTTTATGTTCTGGATGACTAACCAATTTAATCTTTCTAAATGGATGAATGGTTTCAAGGTTTATGAGAAGCAACACTAATGCTATAAAGTCTGCAAGAGAGCCATTTGTAGTGCAGCCAAAACCGCAAACTTTTATAATCTTTTTTCCTTTTGTTTAACCCTTCCACCTGCTGCTCAGTCTGCCTCTTTTAGTTAAATGAACCGTATTTGTTAAGGTAGTTTTGGCTTCTTGCATTTCACTGCTGCTAGAACGTCTATCATTCAAGTCATTAGCACCATGTCTTATTACATGTACAGTAAAGAACCTTCCAAGATACTTCACCAAGGAAAAAGACTTCTTGAAATTAAGAGATGAGCAAACTTCATAGGCCACTTCCCAGCCTCTGGTAAGCAGAAAAACACTGGTCAAATCTCCATCTAAACTAACAGAGAATTTACTCCTAATTGGGCAAGTTTGTCTCTCAATAAAGCACTCGGAAATCCCTTCCCTCTTGATCAGCTCGTGGCGCTGTGCTCTTTCTGCTACAGCTGATGGCAGCAGCGGGAGAAGGACACGGCTGTGCCGGAAGACAGAGGGAAGGGCGGGTTTCTTGTTCCTGCGTGCTGGTGATACCATCTGGAGCTCGCTGGTGGAGAAGTGGGGCTGGGTGGACACCACCCTTCTCTCCTGCTCCCCCTTACTGGGCACACGGCGTCTTTGTCCACGCGCATGTTGAGGTCGCAATGCAGCCATGGCTTCATACCCACTACGCAGTACTTACAGCGCAAAGTGTAAGAGCAGAGGGAAAGACAGCGCCAAGCAGTAAAAAAAAAAGGCAAAAATACATTGCAGCAATGTGGATTGATCCTATGAACAGTGAGGAAGCCTTAGCAACGTGCCTTCTGCTTTCTCAGAAGGGGAAGGGCACTTGCTGCCAAACGCATCGTTGGGTCAACGTGGCCTACTGCAGATTGTCAAGTTGAGGTCTCAAAATGTAAGCTGTTACTATAATGACATGCTCCCAAACAGAAATAGCCACCGCGGCAGCAAGGAGAAAAAGAAAAAGAATCTGGCTGAGAGACATCCGAGCAGAAGATGTTTCTGCAGAGAAGTTCAGTTGCTACAACTTTTTTTTCATGAATGAACTTCCAATCCAGATTCTCCCTGTTTCTCCCTGACAAAGGCACATGCTTTTTAAGAGGCACACAGTAACGTCAGTTGGCATTATGAAGACAATAATGTAGTGTCTACTTTACAAATTCATGGTGTCAGTTTAGGAATACAGTGGTAGGGGAATGTTTGTTTGCTTTTTCAGCTAGCCAGCTGAAAAAAAAGAGAGGATGATACAGGTTCGCTGTGCCTTACCACAAGCAAAAGTAGGCAAGATCAGTCCATATCAATTCAAGCTGAATTTGGGGTCGGAGAGGTACCCGGCCTAACTCATCCGCTGGGATCAACACTGACTCAAGGTTTCCCAGCAGCATAAGGAGATTTCAGTTTT